CACGCTATTAATATCGCTGTTTACCGTCAACGCGGCGATTCGAGAGTTTCCTACGCGTTTCCTCAGCGAACCAATCGGAGGTACCAGTGAATACCTACTTTCCACGAGCATCTACTAAAGGTTAGCTGTACCATTATTCACGCGTCTAAAACGTGTTGTTCGTTATCGCTCCCGACGAATGACCATTCGCCATTCTGCTCCCACGTAATTCTTCCAATTCTCCAGCAGTTGCATTTAAATGTTCCAATTCCATTCGTCCCTATCTGCAACGGTTTTCTTCGTTCCGAAAGACACGAAGCTTACATCGATCAGTGTAACCCATTTACCACGCGCCCGTCAGCGAACCCATTCTTTGCCGACCCAATGGGACAGTAAAACTATAAACTTTGATATTCAATGTTGAACCTTGTATAATGCTTCGATATGAAATCTTGTAACAAAGTAGCTTCGTCCTTCAATGAAATATTGATTTCCTTCGAGTTAGTTTCAAAGAATACACTCTTCGTCTCGTCAAAAAATGTGAAACGTTTCTAGTGAGAAACTTCCGAGTGCAGAGGGTTGATACAATTATCACGATTTTTTGATCACTCACAATGGATCGCAGAATTATTCGAATATCACTACAGATTTCCCGATTACTCGTGATCATTCCCAATTATTTACAGCTTAAATATTTGAATAACCGAACGCGAACGCAAATCGGATAATCAGGTTTGCTTAAATGAACGTTGGTATGTTCCCGATATTTATTTATAAATCAACGCTAACGGTTCCGGCACTTCAAACGAAACGAATAATAATGAATTTATCAACGCAAGTGCTCCAGTGCAAACATAGGCGAGAGAACGGCCGAAAATCGAAAAGCCGATTAGTCGGGCAATAAATCAATCGGTATAAAACGAGCGAAAGAAGTCGCAGAATTTCCGATTGAACTTTGAGACCGGTCCTGCTGCTTCTAATGGCAAACGAGCCAATATCATCGCCAGCACACTGCGAAAGCACACACAGACACGCGTGTTTCTTATACAAAGAATTCCAATCAACAGTGGCATGAAAATTGCCCGAAATTTCGTTGCAGTTCGAATAAACAGCGGAAAAAGGGGAATCGCCGGTTTCGAGCTCTTTGCTGACGCGCCCGAAGAAAAATGAAAGAAAAATAGGAAACGTTCTCTCGCCCTGTCCCTGGAAGATCGCGAATATTGGATCCGATGGAGGATGTAAAACGCTCGATTTCAAAGGGAATCACGCGGTGAAAGGAACTCCTGATTGGATCGTCGCGCGTGTCGAATCAATCACGCCCGGGGCGGAGGGAAATCCACCGCGACGCACGGCGCGGCTGCTTGCGGACGGCGCCCAAAGTTTGACTGACGCGTAACGAGAATTCATCATACTCCCTGCTCTAAAATGATTTTCATTGGAAAACACAAATTTTATGCGAATAAATCGCATTTCTCTACCACTGAGACCAGACAATCAGAATAACGCGTTCCTGCTTTCATTTCGCAATTATTGAAGATAACAGATGTTTCTGAGGAATATTTAAGAGATCGATTTCACAGCGTGCAAACTGAATTATAAATCAACTGAAGACTCGAGAGGTCAAGTTTCTATAGAGGAATTTTAGAGTCGGTTTAACTGCTCGTTTAGTGTTAATTGGATTGACACGCGAAATATCCATCGTCCCTCGTTAATTGCAAGTGTAGCTGGCGTTGGATGACACTGGTCAACATCAGTGATGCCGAACAACATTGCTGACCGAACTTTCTAGACGCAACGGCCGTCTACTGGCGACGACAGCAGTTGCAGGGAACCTGGCACTCTCGCCTGAGTGGTCGGATTCGAAGGCGCCGGCCTGATTGGCCGAGGCGCTGCGCCCACCAATCAGGTTACGCGGCGAAGAGCGCGAAGACTCGATTCCTGACCTGTAATTGGATTCCTCGGGGCGACAGTCTCCGCCCTATGACGTCACGAGTGCCAGGTTCCCAGCGACTGACGGTGTTGAAATTTTCATTTGGAAATGAAACGTCGTGTCTTCCGAAGATCGAGTGCCGGATAGCCCTGAACAGCTCGCGAACAATGAAGCTCGCCGAGTCTTCGGTGGAGTGGAGGCTGAATCCGGGAAACGGAAGTATTAAGCGGGGAACAGATTTCGGAGGGTTGCTTCGAGGGTGACGTTAATGGATATCGATGGAACAATTTATTGGACCCGCCGAAAAGTCTTCCCGTAATTTTCCTACGAAGTTCGCCGGTAACCTGATTTCCCTCGATCGTGACCAATTCCGCCGGAGAACTTTCCGCCATCTGCAGTTATTTATTTGGAATGTTTATTAATGCGCGGGTTGGAACAGGGTATTGCATTCTATTCATTTCAATTGTACCGTGTAGTAATGGAGTTAAGTATTATTTGGTGCGGGTGAATTGTATTAATGCGTCGATTGCATTGTGTTTATTGTGTGATTTTAATTGATCGGTTAATTGTGTATATGTGTATTGTATTATATCGCAGCAGTGAAATAAAGTGGAATACATTTTTTGGAATAACAAAGTAATAAGATTAGATATAATTGCAACAGAAGGTGGAATATAATTGTTACGGATTCGATTATTTCGGGAAGAAAATTCAATCTTTCCTCGATTTCACTGGCTGATTTAAGTAAATATTTCCTTTTGTTTCGCGACACTTCCCTCGGCAGAGTTGTCGTTTTGTTATTTCGAGTAACGAATAAGCCGCAGAGAAAACCAGTCGCCAATCTCCCTTTGAACAACCACCAGCGTTGCAGTCGTAAAATGAACCGAGTGAAGAGCTGCCGTATAACTGATACGATACCGCGGCTTAATTTCAAATTATTTTTCTAAAGCTCCTCCCTCGGTGACAAAAACAGACGCGAAATATTGGCAGATAAACCGCGGAAGTCGCGGGGACGTGTACACTTACATTTTCCCGAATTTGCATAATATAAAGTTCCATTTCCCACGTGAAAATGGTTTCGGTTAATTAAACCTAGGCCGAGTCTGCAGTGAATATTAATAACGATCGCATTCTGTCAACGTTTCAAGAGGACTTCTCATATGAATATTTATTTATTCATCTATTTATCTATATATATTATGTTCCTCAAGTGTATACATTACACCGATAAAATAAAAACACCAATAGTTGATCAATCAAGGACAACGTTTGAGAATTCGTGAACGGTCGCTGCGACGCGTTAATCGGCGCATCCGGTCGCGGTGACCGAAACTTCATCGGAAACGATCATATGAAAAAAAGAAATTGAACGAGCGACGCCAGTTAAACCGGATAAATCGTCACAGGATGAAAACCGAAGACGGCAATGCAATTTTTGCGCGCGCTGCGCGAAAATTCAATTACACGGGCTTCGCGTTGCCCGCGCAATCCCGCGATCGACGCGCGTTCCGCGTTATATTTCGCGGAACTATTTAGTAGGATTAATTGTCAAAGCGGCGGGATAAACCTGTCGGGCACGGTTCTGCTCGCGACGGATTTGTTTTAATAAAATTCAACGTTCGCGCCTCTCCATCGACGGGAATCCCGTTCCGCGGGTCGTCCCGCTGTCGTCGTTAAATCGACTCTAAGTTAATTAAATCGAATGATTATTATTCGCTCGATTGAACGCCGGTTGTTCGACAACTTTTCTGTATTTTGAATAACGTTATAACAATAACGGGCAACAATAACAAGAGAATTCGATCGAATAATTTCACATCGTATCCGTTTCGTTTCGTGCATTTTGCTGCCTCGGCGCTAGGTTTACTGTTATTATTATTTATTATCTGAAAGCATCGATGATTTACACGATGGCAACGAGAGGTTCGAGAGTAGACAATTGAAGGCAGCGAACAGACATTCGAGTACTCGCATCGTTGAAAATCGCGTGTGTCGAGTGTCACGTGTAACGTTCGTCGAACTGACGCCGATCAACCGACGCGCATTGAAACCCAGCGTTTATAATGCCGACCGGTAGGCCGTTAATGAAAAACGGAGAAAGTTGCGGAACGCTCCGCACGAATTTATGAGCGAACTTCCGGAGGAATGTAACGCGGAATTTACCTCCGCCGAGTGTCGCCTTTCACGCTTTAACAATCGATCTCGCCTGTCGCCGCTATTGATCTCAATTTATTCACGCTTTGCTTCGCTTTAACGTGTCACTGTTAATGGCGGACAGCCGTTTTTAATAACGCCACTCGATATTTCCGCGGTGCCCGTAGACTCGGCGCGGAATATCTTTCTTTGCCGTTACCCGATATTTTTGCGACGTTGGAACCTCTCCATTTAGGAATTATCCACTGTTTTCATTCGATCACGTCCGATTACATATTCAATAATTCCGCAACAGCTACGGACACGATGCAAAATAGGTTTCCCTCGAAGATCCGATGTTTATACAATCTTTAATAAACACGGCTAGCTATTTTTCTTTTCCTCCGAAAGATATCTGTGGACCGTCCGTTGCAGCGAATCTGGCACTCGTGACGTCATAGGGCGGAGACTGTCGCCCCGAGGAATCCAATTACAGGTCAGGAATCGAGTCTTCGCGCTCTTCGCCGCGTAACCTGATTGGTGGGCGCAGCGCCTCGGCCAATCAGGCGAGCGCCTTCGAATCCCACCACTCAGGCGAGAGTGCCAGGTTCCCTGCAACTGCTGTCGTCGCCAGTAGACGGCCATTGCGTCTAGAAAGTTCGGTCAGCAATGTTGTACGGTATCACTGATGTTGACCAGTGTCATCCAACGCCAGCGACACTTGCAATTATCGAGGGACAATGGATACTTCGCGTGTCAATCCAATTATAACACTAAACGAGCAGTTCAATTGACTCTTTAAAATTCCCCTATAGAAACTTGAAGAGCGCGTCTCTCGAGACTGCGTGAGCATATCGGAATCAAAAATTCCTGAGGGTGCGCCTTCTAGTCTGGCCAATCGGACGGAAGCGCCAGGTTCCCTGCAACGACGATACACGCGAACGCGTTGAATACTCACCGGCACGTTAATCCTTCAGCGCCGGCGATCGTCCATCGACGGTTCGAACAATAGCGCGCCGGCAGAGTTGACGAGTCGGCTTTCATTCACTTGTTGAACCATTCGCGACGGCCATTGTCAGCGCTCGCGGAGCTTCGACGCGAAAACACGGGAATCGCGTAACAATCGCTGTCTTTCGCAAGAGTAATGGATTACTAAGCAACAGGTTACACGCTGTTGCCGGAAGCCCGAGGCTTTAGGAAACGGCCATCGTCCCCTACCGCCGCCAACCCCCTTGCACTCGACAGTTTTTCACTGGATATTCAATATTCTCCGACGAGGTACACGCGGCGTCGTTGGAAATGAATTCCTCGAGAAATCGCGCGCGAATTAAGGACGGAGGTATTTCCCTTGAAATTTATATTAAAAATTGATTGAGCTTCGACGGAATATTTCAGATTGCGCGCAGTAATATTTGTAATAGTAGAATTTAATATCGATATCGAATCTACGTTAATTGGCTGTGTATCTTTGAGAACGTGTATTGGAAAACACTGAAGTGAACTGAATGAGTGAAGTCAGATCTAAGCGAGCTTAGACGCAATTAATGTCAATAATCAAATTTTTCAACAGTAGTCAAGGAAGTTTTTTGCTGACTATTCGACATTCCGAGGGAATCAAATCATCGTATTCAGAATTCTAAGTCGCAAGCAAGTGATATAATTGCTTAAACAGCAAGAGATCGGCACGTAGCTTCTTTCTCCTATTATTTAAGCAACCGATGTATAATTTATGCATATTTCAAATCCATATTAAATCTCAGACTTCATTTCTCTATCGAATCATGTGGCCAGAGAGCCGTTCGAGTGCAAAGTACCGATTCGAAGACGAAGCTGCTTAAACGCGATTCCCAGGAGTCGAGACTCGAAATCGTCACTCACACCGTTACCGTTGCATTCGTGGAATCGCGACGATCTAGAACGGATTACCAGAACCGTGAATGCCTGCACACCTTTAGCTTCTACCGCGTACCAGCTACTACAGCTTCCCACTACAGATACCAGAGACTCGTCATCGTTGCACACCCAGCGCGCAACTCGTCCTGAATCTTCCAAGAACTACGCGTTCCTCGAATCACTCGCGGAATTCGTACGATTTAAGAAGTGTCCCGTACACACACGAGTCCAAGTATTCGCGGCACGACGCGTTCGTCGATGGATCGCACAGGCCTGTTGCTAACGAAGGATGGAAACAGTTAGGATATCGGTGTGGAACCAATTACGGAGAACCGAAATGAAGTCAACTTAGTCTATCGATTTCGGATCTAGATCTTCGGAAGTATATCAGTCCTATGACTGTTGTGTATCCGAAAGAACCGAAGTACAGAAAAGAAAACTAAGTTGAGAATAATTTTAGAAACATAATAAAATCGGTATAGCTTAATAACAATTGCAACTTTCTGCCGGTTCTCTATAATTGTTCCAACGCGAACCGATACGTAACAGTTCGAAAGAGTTTATCGTCGGAGTGTTTTCGATCGCTGGACAGTCGGCAACAGGTTACCGTGCGAACCGGAGCCGTACAAATGGCGCGCGTCGGGCACGGTTTGGTGGTCACGGGGTTACTGGTGAAAATTCACGAGGATCCTTCCGTCGTCCCCTCCCTCATCCCGGCGTGTCCTTTGCTCCTCTCCGCCGGGAAGGAGCCTGCGCGATGACTGCGCTTCAACGACGCCCCAGCATCCGCGCTCACAATTAGACGGGCCCTATTTCTTCCACCGGGGGGAAATCCTTTGTCACTGCGACGACGCTCCGCGTGTTGATTGATGCACTTACCTTGCGAGGGCGGGATGGTTATTTTGTTTTTAATTAGAAACTAACCCGTTGCAGTCGTTAATGTCGAGTGTAGTAACTGTGATACCGTGGACACTTAGATCGCGATCGTAAGTAATGATATCGGTGATTAACCCGTTGCAATCGTTAATGTCAGGTGTAATGACTATGGTACCATGAATAATTAGGAAGATCACAATCATAATTAACCCGTTGCAATCGTTAATGTCAGGTTTAATAACTATAATATCAGGAATAATTAGGAAGATCACAATCATAAGTAATAATATCGGTAATTAATCCGTTGCAATCGTTAATTTCAAGTCTAATAAATACGATACCATAAATAATCAGACAGAACACAATCGTAAGTAACAATATCGATAATTTTGATGATTAACCTGTTGCAATCGTCAAATGGAAAATTTCTCAACGGGTTTCCCAAATTTTATGTGTTTCTATTGAATTTGATTCCTTCTAGTCTAGGACATCTTTTGAACTACTAGAAATCCCCGGAGGAATGTTAGGAAAAAGGGCAGCCAATTGAAACGCACTTGAAGTTAAATGTGGAATTTTTAATATTTGCAAAAGGGAAGCTACCTATTGATCTTTGATTCTTCGAATAATTGATGTTAAATGGAAATTGGATATGGCGTTATGAATATCGACGAATATGGGCGCTCGGCGAGCTTTTCTTTGAATAATTTGAATTAAATTGAGATTACATTGGAGCTGAATATGGAACTGTTGAATATTCACGAGAGAGTTTGAAAAATTAAAGCAGTTTATAAGTGACCGTTGAAAATCAAGTGAACTCTGCCCGGTGAATCATCTACGTGCTACCCAGATACACGAAAACAGGGCTGAATACCGTAACAGCCTCGGAACGTTTCGACGATTCTGCATACCAATGGAAAAGAACCTCGAAGTTTAACAAAGGAACTTTGTTAATTCTCGAATTCTAACTTTCCTCCATCGGTTCGTGAAAAGCGTGTAAGGACGGGCATTTTTTAAAAATTCGAACAGAATTTTAACCGTACACTCAGGCGTCCTACACGCCGGCGAAGGTTGGAAAAAATCGAGATTTTTGGGTCATGGAAATTACCTTGCAAAAGGGACGGAATTTGAAACGAGATCGTTAGAGTGTCACGGTCGTTCGTTTGTAAACTAGCGGAATTGAATATTCCACGGTGAACACGCGTCCAATAATTTTCTCGAACGAAACACTCGATTTGCAAGTAATTATACATGTTCTCATTGGCATGGTAATGTAATACGTCGAGCGAACGCACGCAGACGCGCCGAGTTTCAATTTCAGGAAATTTGAAGAGTGAACAGCCGAAGGGCTCGGCGAAAGAATCATTCGAGGCTCTTCGTTCTCGGCGTGAATAACAAGCGAAAGGTTAATTAATGACCCCGTCGCCTACGACTTTCGATTGGCCGCTGAATCCTCCTGCTGGCCACCCACTCAACCTCCACTCGCCTTTGACGCCTAACCGTGAAACTGTTGGAAAACAGTAGGAATTCTGTTCTAATTGCCGAAGGAGAGCTTTAAATCCATTAAGTGCCACCCTGGGACCATTAAATCCATTAATTGATAAACTTGCGACGAGCGGCCTTCGGAAGTTCCCGCAGACGCTGCTAAATCTCGCTCTGATTAGACGTGGGAATCGCACCCGCGCGATTCATATTTTCTTCCGGAACACCCGAGAGGGGGGGTGGATGGCAAAAAGTGTATGGATTTTAACCAGTTAACCCTCTATGGGCGAATGTTTGATCGCGATTATAGCGAAATCTATGCAGTAAAAAATTAACAAATTTCAATAATTTCATCGAACGAGTATATTTCGTAACTTTCAAATCACAATGACGTTAAACTTTCACGCCTGATCGTGTAAAAGTTGAAGTTAACTGATTATTTAATTTTACTCACCACTTTCAATGCAAAATGAAATAAATCAACAAGATTTTAATATACTAATATGTGACTTCAAAGTTACATGGACCTACAGAGGGTTAACCGTGTTTGACGAGTATATACGTCATCTTAAAACCTAATGGTGCTAACTTCTTCAACGACGGATTATTTTTTGAGACAAACATGTAATTCTTCTTCGTTTCACTTCATTATTTGATTTTATTGCACGCATAATGAGAGATTTTTCAAACTAAATTCCACACTGGTTAACCCTCTATAGGCTCTTGTGACTTTGAAGTCACACGTCAATATACCGGGTTAAATTGATTTATTTAATTTTTTATGGCAAAATGACGAACATTAAATAATTAATTAACTTTTGTACACAAAGGCATTTACGTTCGACGTCATTGTAACTTCAAAGTTACAAAATATGTTCGTTTCAATGAAATTATTAAAACTACTGAATACATTGTTAATTTGTGTTTATATGTTGATATTTATTGATTTCGTACTGCATAAATTTTATTATAATCACGAGGGAAAATTCGGACCATAGAGAGTTAAATAATACGCTGTGGAACAGCTCGATAACGGTAGGACGAAGGCAATACGAAATTGACCGTAGAAAAATCGTAAATCCGTGGACGAGATATACAGTAAAAATGATAGTAAAATACGAGGGTGTCGATGGCTCGGTGAATAGCGTGCTCGCCTGTGATTGCTGAGGTTCCGAGTTCGAATCCTGGTTAACCTAAAAACCACATGCGACGAATCCCTTCGGTTTTTTCCGATGGAAAAATCTATAGTATTTGATAGATGTTGTTTATGTATTGTTGTTGTTATATATATGTGAGTAAGAAAAAGGTGTGTATTGGTAATTTCTCTTCCATGCTCTTTTTCGAGTAAGAATTTATTCTGGAATAATTTACTTACTTTGTACTTGTTTGGTTATTTATTAAACTTTGTGCCTGTACAAGGAGAGAGAGTTGGCTAATGATAATTTTCAAATGGGTGTTACCTTCCTTCAACTTTGACGAAGCTCTCTCTACATTTTCTCCGCTAACACAACTTAATGAAATGGAATTTTCGAACTTTCTAAAGTAAGAGAGGTGGGTGGTAGAGTATTATCTACTGTAGAGGGAGAGAAGAGGGGGGGAGGGTTGTGTTATTATATTACCACTGTAGAGAAATTGAAATTCTAAAATTAATAATAATTGAATCTATCTGTTGAAGAATGGTAATATTCTACATTTGGATAAATCGTGTAGGTAAAATCAAATCTTGACTTGAAAGAGCCAAAAGTGAGAAAAGGATTTGAATGTGCACAATTGAAAATGGAGGAAGGTGTTGTTGAGTTGAGTTGAGTCTATAAATAATTGAAAAATTGAATACTTGAAGTTTGAAAAATCTGGTTCGAAAAATTGTGAGTACCTAACGATGAAAGAATATCAAAATCAAGTCCAGAATTGAATTCTCAAATTTGGAAATATCTCAGAACTTCAAAGAATTGCGTATTCGAATTTCATCTAGGAGTCTGAATACGTGAAATCAGCAGTTGTAAATACTTGAAAAGAGACTAATTCTCTAAAAGCTATTTGTTCAAACCATCAAAGATCTTAATTGGAGTTAAACTAAGGAAACCTTATTCCAACAATTTGGAAACTGCCGTTGCAAATGAAAATCTGGTGGAGCGGGACGGTTCGCTTGAAACATATCCCATCACGTTTTCCCAATAGTGGAGCGAGCCGCGCCCAACAGCTTCCATTAAAAGGGGAAAGTCCTTGGGTGGTCGAAAAAAGCAAACGAAACCCTGCAACCAGACGACAAAAAGACAGACTCGAATGCAGAGAATGACATTCGACTCGGTAGTTTTCTCTCGGTTTCATCCATTTTCCTCGAGATTTTCAAAAGGCGTTCCTCTCGAAACCGCGACAGACATTCGCGATCAACGAACACACGTACATCATCATTAATCTCCTAAAGTTCCCTCTCGAATTACTTTTCCGACTTCAGCGCCATTTTCCATCTAATAACCTCATACCGATCATCATTTGAAACACAGAGATATTACAGTTTACTTACACATCTTTGTCTTTCGAAGACAATGCAAATTACAATCTTACTCACACGTTTACACGTGTAGATACTCAGTCCATATCGAAGTTTCGTTGGTGAATAAAAAAACGAGACACTTATCATCGCGTTCGTTGCTGTTTAATCCATCTCGCCGTCATCGACAACCATGATTGTGTATTGTTATCCGTTTCGGTGTCGAATGTAATTACTGAATCACGTCGGTTTAATAATAGCCGCTTCGAACGAGCTCAGAAGTTCACAGAATACGCCTAATCCGTGCGTCAATAGCCAATTTGCCTTTGTAAGCGTCGGGATACAATTAAGCGTGAAAATTTTGTTACCGAACGCACCGGCAACGCAATCCCTCTCATTTTTGTGATCGAATTCCGATTCACGCAATTATCGTGCTCGGTCGAATCAGTGCTCAGCCCAATTACTCCCCTTTCAATAATTGTTGATCCCATTAATTGACCGGCCTCTCCACCCACCCCTTGAACAATCCAGAGAATTAACGTTAACAAGGAATTCCTAATTTTCGCTTCTCGCGTTATTAACCGAATTAATTGCGAACGACAAGTCGAATTAACGATCGAGTGGACTCGCAATCGAATTTCCTTCGTTTCTTATTCCTAGGTAGTTTCACCTTTGCACTTTATCAACACTTTCACTGATACTGCTGCCTATTCGCGACAAACATTTTGTTCGTTTCCCAAGAAAAGTTGATTACCTTCACCTGTGCATTTCCATCCAAACTTTTTTATTAATTATTTTTATTTG